TTAGTTTGTTAGCATTGCCTTTTGGTATGAAAGAGAACGTTTCGCCCGAGTAGAAACGTTATCCAAGTATTTTTACCCTACTTGTTGGCAATAAACTGCCCTCCTCCTGGCAGTGGATAGTCGCCCAAATTGAACTTTTAATACTGAACATCAACTGGGAGCTAATAAATAATGGGGTTTTAAGAAAATAGTTGGGAGATCGATGTGATAAACGGGGGCCCTGAACCAGTATTTGAAGAGGATGAGCTCAAAAGCACTAGAAAGCAAAATCCATACACATACCTTTACGAAAGAGTTGGAAGTACAAGTTGGAAAGGGAGGGGCGCGGCCTGTCCCAAGCGAGGACGACGGATAACAGACCTCCACAATGGCAACAGATTTTCTAAAGAACGAAAAGCAAAACTTGTTAGAAATATGTAAAAATGAATACATCATACAGAACCCAGGAGAGAGAGAGGAAACAAAAAACTGTAGTGAAACCGAAGAAGAAATCCCAAATACTCTCATAAACAAAACCCTGGGCAAAAAAAACTATTTGGCATTGAGTCTTCAATTAAAGGAGTGGAACATAGACTGATTATATCAAAGAAAGGGACTGAAATTACTGATGTCCCATACGACTTATTGTTCAGTGAGCCATTAATAAACCTAAAGACTGTTTGAACAAAATTAGTTTTACTTAAAGAGAGGCACAGGATATGACTCCCTTTAATCTCTTATATACTCCTAACCCCCACTAGTTTTCGAGGAAGCTATTGATTGCATCTTCATGCACTCCGCCGCAAGCCCAGACTTGCGGAGCTCCATAGTCATCAAGAATTTGCAAGAAACTTTTATCGCCTGCTTTGAATATTCTATGGAGAAGGGTCTGGACACAGGAGTCATCTCACAGACTTGAACACTGCTTTTACAGCAGCCCCCTTCACAAATGCGGCAGTAAAGCAGTTGAAAAAAAACAACTGATCGATAGCACTGGCGTCAACATTCCAAGATTTCTGAAAAGGTCTTAAAAAAGTTAAGATAGGTCAGCATGGGTTCAGAACAGGTCTATCCTGCCTCTCGCAATTGCTGGACCAATTGTAAATTGGTCTTGGAAATACGCTAGAGAGAAGCAAAGACTTTGCAAAAGCCTTGACAGTGCACAAAATGCGTTCAAAAGGAATATTTAGAAAGATAGGCGGGAACAGATATTTAACATCCTAAACAACAGAACCAGAATAATAGTAAACAAAGTTAAATAAGGGGCTGCTACAGTGAAAAGTTCCCCCCCGAAGGCACAGTATTCCCCCCACTTCTTTTTCTTTTGCTTGTATCTGACATAGACAGGGACATAAACCTTAGTGCAGTTTAATACTTTGCAGACGATAATAGAATTTGCATGAGGTCTCACAGAAGACAGTGCAAGTCTTCACGCTGATATAAACCAAGTTTTGCAGTAAAACTGCCTACAATATTTGTTATAAGATAAGGTTTCAGTTCCCAAAGGTAGGGAAGAACTGAGGAAATGAGAAGAAGTTGAGTACAATACAACCTCTAATCACTCAACAGGGCATAAGTTTAGTGTGAGAAAACTAAGAGTGATAATGTCAGAAAGGACACAACAACGTTATTATCGCAGCTGCAAGAAAAATGAAAGGGTTGGATAACTAAAAACTTTAAAAACAAGAGATGCCAAGCCAATGATTATATCCTTTACCCAGGGGCAGGATCAATTCTTTGAATTAAGAGAATCTCTTCGGTCAAAGGAACCTTCCTTGAAGGAACGGCCTCCTCTAATGGGCCGCGGGAAACATTAAAGGGAGGACGAATTTTAGCTACTCAGTTACGGAAAAATTTAAAGAAAATCATAGATGGAATGGAGTATAAAACAAAATTCTAACCACACAATAGAGCTAAAAACCAATGTGAAAGACTTGGGATTGATAATGTCAGAGAATCTCACCTTAACAGTGTCACTATCACATACTGTGAGGAAAATGATGGGGATGGAAAAATGAGAACCTTCGTAAAAAGGGATGCCTAGCCAGTGATGATCCTATTTAAGTTAGTTGTTCTTCTAGGCTGGAATACTGCTATACACTAAGGAAAGGGCGAAACCGCAGGGTCTAGAGAATATACAGAAAAACTTTCACTACACGTATTAGTCCATTTCAAGCACCTTAATTACTGGGAAGACCTGAAGTCTCTTGACCTGTACTCTCTGGAACGACAGGTGAGAAAAATACACCACAATTTATATGTGAAAAAATCTAGAGGGACTGGTCCCAGATCTGCGTACAGAAATCACTCTCCGTAGAAGCAAAAAGACTCGGCAGGCGATGCAACATAGCCCAGTTAAAAGTAGCGGTGCCATGAGTACACTAAGACAAAACAAAATAAGTGTCGGGGCCAAAGAATATTTCATCAGTCTCCAATTCATATATAAGGGGGGTTTACCAACAGACTCCTGGCTGTCTTCAAGGGGAATTGAACAGTTTACCTTAAGTCAGTGCACGATCAGCGGGTTGTGATTCGTACGTTAGATTGAGAGCGGACAGGAGTAAAAGCCTGATTGACAGGCCCTGATCCAAGGGGAAGCCTGGTCGAGGACGGGCCGAGGGGATGTCGACTCTGAAACAACCTCCAGGTAGGTAAACTCTAGCACTGAGAAACTGATGCGTCTCTTTAATGTTCCCAGAACTAGAGACAAAACAGCCGTACAAATAATTACGAAACAATATCATTGTATTTAGAAAACCGAACAAACTCCCAGAGAGACTGCACGTCAAAGTAAATGTAACTGTGCAGAGTTTCAATTACTTTCGGCTCCAGTCATACTAATCGTGTAACAAGAAATTCAAGGAGTTCAAAGTAGAAAAAGTATAAACTAAAAGAAATAAAAAGGAAGATGACGAAGCTGCAGAAAACACCGAGAAATGATGCTGTCAATAACACCAGAGTCAGAAGTTGAACATCAGTATCTTCTGCAGAGGAGAACCAGCACTTCCATGAATTTAGAAGTCTTGATGCAGATATTGGTGTGAGGTGTATGACAACAAACTTATTGGGACCGTCTTCGTCTAAATGCAAAATATTTCCTGGCATCCTAGACTGGACATCAAAATTGTCACCATTCTCTATTGAGATAAAAAGCTTCTAACAGCAACACTGTAGAGAAGAAACTTCAGATAAGAACCTTTATTGAACTCACCATCACGTAGAAAACTCTGTCAGATGGCCCTTTTACTTCAAGTATTCTGAGTAGCGCCAGGTGTACGAGAGACGACTGAAAGAAATCAGTGTTATGAAAGAAAGCAGCAAGGATCGCTTCGAGGGACAGGTCTTGAAGAACTTTCCCCAAAACACAAGAGTAATGAATAATGGTTAAAACGTCCTTGTGTTCTACCAGGGAGCGAGAAAATGCTTAAGCAAGCGCTTAGTGTGACTATGTTGGCGATGTTCCTGTTATGGCTAAGGCTGCAAAGATGACAAAAAGAAATATATGTCGCTCAGATTTAGATGGCTTTCATTTCAGTAGCTAATTTACTCCAGGTTGTCAAGAAGAGTTCATATCCAATGTCTTGAAGTCACTCGCATCAGTGATGGTATATGGAGCGGAACTCACGGATCAAGGTTTCAGCGGAGTCCCAAAAGTACCTCACTATCCCCTCTGTTCAACAACACCATCAGACCATCAACTGAAGCCAAAAGTAAACACTTAGTAGACCATAAACCACCAGGACATGGAGGAGGAACAACCCACCCACACTAGAACATGGAGGAGGAACAACCCACCCACACTAGAACAGGGAAAGGAGGAACAACCCACCCACATTTAGAACTGGAGGAGGAAAAACCCCACCCACACTAGAACATGGAGGAGGAACAACCCACCCACACTAGAACATGGAGGAGGAACAACCCACCCACACTAGAACATGGAGGAGGAACAACCCACCCACAACTAGAACATGGAGGAGGAAAAACCCCAACCCCACACTAGAAACATGGAGGAGGAA